TTTGAGATACGGTGACCAGAACTGTACAAAATACTCCAAATGGGGCCGCACCATCGATCCATACAGGGGCATCACAATATTGGCTGTTTTATTCCCAATCCCTTTCCTAATAATCCCTAACACAGAGTTTATCTTTTTCCCCACTGCAGCACACTGGGTTGTGTGAGTGTTACTGAAACAGCAGCAATCGCCTCTGCCAGACAGTAATACAGCTGCTGAATGCAAAATCTTGGAGAGTGCAAGGGAGTCCCCCGGAGCCTTCTGTTCTCCGCCGAAAAATCAAGCAAGAAACAAACCAGTAAGATTTGCTTAGGGCCGGGGGTCCCCAACCTTTTTGAGCCTGCAGGCCCACTTGGGATTCTGACACACCATGGCGACTACAGGAACAATATGGCTGCCCCAAAATGGCTGCCGCAGGAGGCGGGGCCAGCCACAAACTGATTTGCCACAGCTTCACTTCAGTAACACAGTGCACATGAAGAGGAGAGGAGAGGCGATTGGATTTATACCCTGCCCTTCACCAGGGGTCATTTCATAGAAAAAGAGGTGCAGGAGCTCATTAGCATAACCCCTAGCATAACTCATTTGCATATGCCACACCCCCTGACATCACCGGAAGTGTGTCAGGAGGCAACACCCACCGCTCAGGCTCCACTGGACCGTTTTAGATTGCTAGCTATTGGGAGGGGGGGGAAACGTGCAGATCTGTCCTCGCAGAGCTTGTACCTGAATAAAACTTGGTCTTAAAGGTGCCACTGGACTGTTTTGGGCCGGGGGGCTGGGGGGGCCTCTGCAACTTACCTGGCTGCTTCTTGCTCTGACTGAGGGCTGCTGGGAGCAGGGGGTGGGGCTTGTTGCATGTGCCCGCCCCCTGGGCTCTTTACTGCCGGAGCTCCGCTCCTGTGCGCTCCTGCAGGAAATGACCCCTGCCCTTCACTATGCGAAGGAGTCTCAGAACGGCTTACAAACTCCTTTCCCTTTCCCTCCCCACTACAGACACCTTGTGAGGAAGGTGGGGCTGAGAGAGCTCTGACAGAAACTGCTCTTTTTCAAGAACAGCTCTTATCAGAACTGTGACTGACGCAAGGTCACACCAGCAGCTGCATGTGGAGGACAAAGGGAAAGTTCCCTTTGCATGTGGAGGACAAAGGGGAATCAAACCCGGTTCTCCCAGATTAGAGATCCTTGTCTTGTAGCGGCAGCTGCTACCAAAGTAACATTAAAAAAATACCCTGCACAGCCAATCAAGTCTTCAGTAGTCAATCAAAAGCCTTGATAGGCATGGTGGGGACCCCAGCTCAGGGAAGTAGAGAATCCAACACACAGGGCCTCCCTATCGCAGTCCCACGGGGCTCCTACAGAGAAGATATTTTCAAAGATGCGGGGGAGTTCTTGTTTTCCTCTGGATGACTGCATACTTCTCGGAGGTCTACAAGCCAAAGGCCAGACTGGTGAACTTCAGCTTTTCCTAAGCTCTGTAGGTGTATGCCTGTCTTCTCTGAACACTCTCCCACTTTTTCTACCCTAAGAACGTAAGAACATAAGAGACGCCAATGTTGGATCAGGCCAAAGGCCCATCCAGTCCAACACTCTGTGTCACACAGTGGCCAGAAATACCAGGTGCCATCAGGAGGTCCACCAGTGGGGCCAGGACATTAGAAGCCCTCCCACTGTTGACCCCCCCCAAGCACCAAGAAGACAGAGCATCACTTGCCCCAGAGTCCCTATCTATACCTTGTGGCTAATAGCCACTGACGGACCTCTGCTCCATATGCTTATCTAATTCCCTTTTGAAGCCGTCCATGCATGTAGCCGCCACCACTTCCTGTGGCAGTGAATTCCAAGTGTTCATCACTCTTTGGGTGAAGAAGTACTTCCCTGCTTGGGCTTTTCTCCTCTGGCCTTGTTTCTGTTCCACAGAACCACCACCTAATGACTTTTCCGGGACGAACTCCGCCTCTGCTTCGCTTAACCTGCTGTCCTGCAAAAGCTGGGCTGTCTCGGTCCCATAACCCCCTGCTTCTACGCCTCCTTGTCTTGGACTGCCTTCCTGTTCTGACACTAAAAGGAAAGCGGATGGGTTTATATATGTGAAATATTTTAACCTGCTTTTCTCTCTCCCTCTCTCTCCCCCAAATCAGCTTACAAGGAATTAAAACGATAAATCACGACAGGCTTACCAGTAAGAACATCCACACAATTCAATAATTTCGATACCAAGCACAGGGCCTGGAAAAAAGCATTTAAGGACCCACCGATCCTTTGGAACTTTCCCTTTTGTCACGCCCTTCTATGATGTTAGCTCAACCAATCACTGTAAAGGCTCCCCCACCATCATCAAATTCCAACTCACTTTACCATATAGGTCCCTCCCCCAAGGGCTGCCAGCTCCAGGGTGGGAAATTCCTTGAGATTTGGAAATGGGGCCTGGGAAGTGTGGGGTATGGGGAGGGGAGGGACCTCAGTGGGGGATAATGCCATAGACGCCCCCCTCCGAGCCGCCGTTTTCTCCAGTAAAACTGATCTCTGTGGTCTGGAGTTAAGTTCTAATTCTGGGAGACCTCCAGGCCCCAGCTGGAGGTTGGCAACTCTACCCCCCACCGCTTCATCTTTGGAAAGATGCATCATGTTCTTCTCCCCTTCATGTAATGCATTCCTGATAACTGCCTTGCCAAAAGTAGCACTTTAAGTCATTGTGGCCCCGGTCACACGGGCCGGATATCGCGGGGGGGAGGCGTTGCTGTTTGCCCCGGGGCAAAATAACGCGCGGTTGCAGGAGCAGACGTCCCGTGAAGGTTCCGTGGAGGTCCGTGGGTAGGGGGGAGTTGCTGATCACAGGACAATCCTGCGGTGCGGCAAAGAAGCGGCGCGGTGCGGCAAAGGGGTTTGTTTTTTTCTGTACACCAAAGTATGTGCATGCTCCGTTGGGTGCTTGTGTGCATCCATGGAGACTTGGGGGGGGGAAACCTTTTTGCAAGGGGACATGGGCGGGTGCCGGATGCCACCGGAAACGCCCCGCGGTTACCGGAAACTAGTACCTCGGAGGTACTAGTTTTTTACCCCGCATCTTCAGCGGGAAGCCTCGGGTGAGCCACGGGAGCTCTACGCTTCCCAGATGTGGTGGTGAGATCGCGCCCGGAAAATCCGCCTATCTTCCGTCTCTCTAGCGTGCCTAATGCTCCGTGTGTCCGCAGCCTGTGTGTGTTAAGTTCCATCAAATAGCTTCTGGCGGCCCTAGGCTCTGGGCTGAGAAATACCAGGAGATTTTGGGGTTGGAGCCTGGGGAGGGCGGGTTTGGAGAGGGGAGAGACCTCAGCAGGGTATAATGCCTTAGAGTTAACACTCCAAAGCAGCCATTTTCTCCAGGGGAACTGAGTCTTGGTCGCCTGGAATTCAATTGTAAAAGTGGGAGGTCTCCAGACGCCACCTGGAGATTGGCAACCCTAGGCAGCCCCGTGAATTAATGTCCTCCAAAATGTCCAGTCATTAACAGCCCTGCTCAGGTCTTGGAAACAAGAGGGCTGGGGCTTCCTACGTTGAGTCAATCCATCTGACGTTGGGCCTTCCTCTTCTCCCGCCACCTTCCGCTTTCCTAGCATGATTGTCTCTTCCGGTGACTCTTCTCATAACGTGACCAAATTACAATAGCCTCAGTTTAGTCATTTTAGCTTCAAGGGAGAGTCCAGGCATGATTTGATCTACAACCCACTGGTCTGTTTTTTTGGCGGTCCACAGTTTACTTCAAAACTTTGCTCCAACACCACATTTCAAACGAATCAACTTTCTTCTTGTCAGCTTTCTAAGTAATGATATTATATAGTATCATATTACAAATCCTTACTCCTGGTGTGTAACTCTGGGCTCTAACTAGGGTTGCCAAGTCCAAATTAACTTACCTCGGGGGAGTCCTGTGCCCGGAAGTGACGTCATCGCGTTGGCATGTTGGGGGCGGGGCCACTAGGATTCAAGGGGAAACCATAGAGTTTTCCCTCAAA